TGTGATTACTATAGATCCTCAAGAAGGGATGGATATGCCTGAAAGACAAGAGAAAGTAACATTTTTTACTTAAATGCAATAGGTATAGTGTCTTCTGTACATTACAAATCCCTTTAAATTTCTTGCTAATGACATTCTTAAGTAGCAAGTAAGATGGAAAGCTAATATTACTAAGGTTTAAGTTAACTGTATTTCCTTTTTTTCTTCAGGTCAAGTTACACTCCATAGCAGACAATGGGCTTCCAATGGATAAATAACTGTTTAGCTGAGGAGATATTTACCAGGGTTTTGGGAGCTCCACAGGCTTCTGGTTTAACCACATGATCCATTATGGTTGCCTGTAGCAAAAAGAGATGCAACATTATGACAGCAGGTTAGCTTTGAAGTAGAATGACACATAGATAAATAGCTACGTGCTTTATTTACAACCAAGGAGAAATTCAAACATCCAGCATCTCCATTTAAAATCTCACATCCATACATTTATAACCATAAATAAATACATAAATAAAATATTTAACTCATGTTAAAAATGGGGATAAAAGAGGGTGTTAAAAAGACTTAGGAGCTGTCTGCCCAGCCAGTGTGGAGAGGGTGTCTGCTGTTGTCCATTATAGCTTTCAGTGTTTTCAATGATGATGAAGTCAATAAGTCAAAGGCATAGTTCTGTCAGGGCTATTTTATTTCTTTTGTGCCAGCAAAACTCTTTCCATTCCTGGCCATTGTTAACACTTAAACCTGCACTATAACCAACACCTGGCACAAACTCACTGGTGTTTTTGGGTCAAAACAGCTTCTGTACTATTTATATTATAATAAAGTTAAACTTGGATATTGCATAGTTCACTACTCCAGCACTTCTTTCTTTCTTTTTTCTTTTAAATAAAAGCACTTGCTACGTTTCTGCCGAAGAAGAGCCAAACATGGGGCGTTTTGTTTTTTTCCTTTAAAAGTTGAACTTAACTGGGAAAAAATGGCAGTAACAATAATAATAACAACAGAAAAAAAGTACCAGACATTTATCCTAAGTGTGCTATGTGATATTTGCCATAGGAGAATACTCTTTTTATAAGTAGCCTATGTTGTAGGAAAACAGATGCTGTAAGAGAAGTGGCATCCAACTTCTTTACTTTTCTGTGTTTGTGCTGCTCGTAGTTTTCAAGTGATGGTTAATGCTTTTATGCCAAGATCTCTTACTTGGTTCCTTCTTCTGCAACACCTTCAGCCTCCAGTTTCCCCTCCTCCTCCATTTTTTCCTCTGAAATGAGTTCCTGTTTCCTGTGTCGACGGAGACATTTCACAACCACCATGGAAAGGATCAGCAGTGCTAATGCTCCTCCCACAGAAGCCCCAATGGCAACCGCAATGGTTGAATCCCTTGGAGGTGGGACTGAGGAAAGGAGAGGAAAGGGTTAAGCATTTTGTAGACAAGTGAAGTGCTGACTAAAAGCTCTGTAGGGTTGATTAAACAGAGTGGAAAGTAAGAAAGTGCTGCTGAGTTGGTCCATGTGAGTGCATATGTGTGTGTGAGAGATGCTGATGGACTAAGTTCAACCTCTTGTTGGTCATTAATAAGTAAAAAAGCTGAATCATCATCATCAGGAGATCGTCATGCTCGAGAAACAAACATATACAAAGTATGTTAGATGTGATTAATATATGTCATTTGATCGCATGCAAGCTTGTGAGCAATTTTAGCAAAACTATAAAAATATTCATCTCAATACTAATACAATTAGAACTGCTACTGGTAAAATTGCAAATTTGGTCAATGGTATTATTTTGATACAATCATAGCTGAGTCATTTTCATATATTTATTGACACTAGATCTTCAAAAATCTGCTGTTGATTTCATTAAATCATCAGAGTGGCTTCGTTCCCTGAATGAAGATTTGCAGAAGTGGGTAATGCTGGGCTTACACTGTGCGATTTCTGGCCCATTTTCAGCCGATTTTTGAGTCGTGCGACCGTTTTGGCGATCGGCCCGATTTTGGCCTTCATCGTGCGTCGTGCATCGTGTAGTATACGTGGGGTAACGAGAAGCGATTAACACCTCACGACCAGCTCCCGATCATCAATCGCTTGGTTGTAAGAATTTTAAACAGGTTTGAAATCCTCATGACCGTTGTGAGGGTGTCACCGCAGCTTCTCACACTGCGCACACGCAAACACAAATGTCAGCGAAAAAGACGGCGCAGCACGGCAGTGCAGCGTGTGATCTGGACACAAGCAGTGGAGGAACAACTTGTAGAACTATGGCAAGCTCACCCGAGCCTTTTTGATGTAGCCTCACAAAATTATCAGGACCACAACAACCGTGAAAATAGTTGGATCTACATTGCAACTCAATCACAGCTGCCTGATCAATGTTTTTCATTAGCAATTTAGCAAAGTTGATGGTGGTGGTGTGCGTGTCTGTGTGAGTGAAAGACAGAGAGGGAGAGCGAGCGACAGAATTTCTGTTATAACCTTCATTTTATGGACGCACAGTGTGAGCACTCAGGTCGCATCAGAGCATCGGGCCGTATAGTGTGAGACCCTGCATCGTGACCTACGAACTTCTAACCCCTGCGAGTCAATCGTACAGTTTGAGCAGGAGCTGAATCGCGCGACTGAAAAAAATCGCACAGTGTCTGCCCAGCATAAGAGAGGAGCAAAGCTGCAGATCATCCTACACAGGATAATCAAAGCAGTCAAAGCAGTGCATACAGCCCCTGTATGATCAATGTTATGATAAAGTTAAACTAGCATGTGGTATAGTTCGCTATCTGCTACTACTAGTAGTGAGATACTATTTTTTGTCTTACTGACAATCGGAATTTTTTAGGAATCTGGTGTAGTTGAATATTTATGTTTTATTTTCCAAACTGACACTATTTTGTGCTGTGGTTATTGTAACTTGTTGTTGTTCTGAGATGATTTCATATTGCATACTGACGTTAAATGGCACCAAATGATGCTTAGTGAAATGGGAATGTAATTCTGACGCACATGCATTTGTTTCACAAGTTGATCAGTGGGATAAGGTTACCCACGTTGTGTGTGCAGAAGTTAAAATTAGAATCTTACGTTCTGTGACAACATTAAGCTGTATGATACCATGTCCCTGGATGCGGTCTGGGGGGTTTCTCACATAGCAGTTGTAAATACCCTCATCCTCCAGTTGAACATTTGATAGAGTGATTGACAGGTCATTCTTATCCAGGTTCCCAGCAAACATGACCCTTTCTCCGAACCGTTCTGATCGAAGAGGCACCATTCCCCTTTTCTTATAGTATGTCATAAACTATGAAAAGAGAGCAAGCTTTTGTAACAGGCTCAGAGATTTAAAATGTAAGTACTTTGCTAAAAATTTATGAAGTATCCATTTTACCAGTTCCTGTGTATCGTTGAGTGTTTCTTGGTAGGTCCAATTCATGGCAAACTTTGTAACATCCATCTTATAGCAGGAAGTGAACACACAAGAGATTTTTACCGTTGTTCCATTTAGTGCATTAATGCTACTGGCCACAATTACGTCCATGCTTGAACAACCTGTGAATACAAATAAACAGCATTAGTGGTGATAGTACTAAGATTAATACATTACATTTAAACCATTAAGGAGGCCCCAGGGCAGACCCAGGACACGCTGGAGAGATTACATCTCTCACTTGGCCTGGGAATGTCTTGGTGCTCCCAGGCCAAGCGAGAGACATCATCTCTCGCTTGGTCTGGGAATTTGAGGTGTGGGTTTCTCTGCTTAGGCTGCTGCCCCCACAACCTGGCCCCAGATAAGCAGAAGAAAATGGATGGATGGACATTTAAACCAATTTATATCCATTTAAAGTTTGAAAAAAATACAAAAATTTATGAGAATGGTCAAAACATAATTTAACATAAAATGTCTATCAACTGGTTTAGCGTTATTAAAAGCTGAGAACTATGTTCATATATGTACAGGGTTGGCCATTTATATGGATACACCGTAATAAAATGGGAATGGTTGGTGATATTAAA